AGAGAGAGAGAGAGAGAGAGAGAGAGAGTAATTGAGAGGGATAGAGAGAAAGCTTTTACGTATGTATGTTTGTCTTCCTTATTAATAGTAAGAGAAGGAGCCTCCTCCTCCCCGTCCATCCTCTAATTTCCCTAATAAAAATAACTCATTTATATCCGTGTCTTCCCCACTCCCCCCTCCCCCCACCACCTTTTATCCCTCCCATCCCCCTCTTCTCCCCCTCCTACACTTCCCCTCCCCGCCCCCCTCCTCTCTCTCCTTCCATCCCTCTCTCCAATACCTCCCTCAGGAGAGTAAGACGAGCGCTCTAACACTGAGCAACGTCTCCGGAATTTTCCACATTCTCATTGGCGGCCTTATTCTTTCGATGGTGACGGCCTTCTTTGACTTCATCCTCAAAAACAGAATGCGATCGGAGAAAAAGATTACGGTGAGCGTCATTTCTCCTTGGTCACATTATACATAATTAATGTCTTAGTTTAGTTCTAATAGAGTTTTTATGGCGCTCGCAACTGCAAAAGGTCATATGAGCTCCAGAAGTTTAGAGGTGTTACAAGAGAGTAACAAACATGAAAAAGAAGAAGGGGAGATAAGGATGATAGATGTTTTTATAGGAAACAAGAAGCAAACCACACTAGAGCAGCGCCCAACCAACCATTATTAATATCTTCTTTAATTTCTAGTGTAGCATCATTGTAACGTTCGTGGTTTAGTTGTTAGGTTATTGAGTTCCCAACCAAAATTTCGGTGTGTGAAACTCGTAAAATATAATAATAGTATTCAGTTATGATTATGTATTGCGTAGTATTCGCAACTAAATGTCTAGAGTATTACATTGTATATGGTCGCTTTTAAGGACAAGTGGACTAACCCAGATCTCGAGGGTTTCCAGAAATCTTGACCTACCCCAAAAGTGAGCATTACCCTACCTATAGGAGAAGTTTGATTTCATTGGTGTATTTGTTTGGTTACAGAGAAAATTCTCATTGTCTGTTAAAGAAAAGGAACAAGGGACAAAACCTTTACCTTCGATTTTCTCAAAACAGCATTTTTTGGGTTAGCCCCCTTGTGCTTAACATTTTAAAAGCGACCATACTATAGATATAAAAGGAAAGAGGCACTCGAGAACGTACGGGGTAGAAAACATGTAATTCTTACTTCTATTTAAAAATAAAGATGAGTAATTCCCCTGTGTAAAACCAGCCTGTTTTCTCGCCCTCCAATGTCGTTTTTCTCTGCAATAGCATTTCAATTCTTGATCTTGTTCTTGTTCTTGTTTTTGTTCTTGTTCTTGTTTTTCTTCTTCTTTTTCTTCTTCTATTTTTTTCTTCTCCTAATTTTTCTTTTCCTCTTCCTCCGCCTCCTCCTCCTCCTCCTCCTCCTCCTCCTCCTCCTCCT